GTATGTCTTACATTACACTTCACTGAAAACAGGACATTTTAGATAGCATATTTTAGCAACTCTAGAGTCTGACTTTTCCCCCATGAAGTTTATCATTGCTGTTGGATTGTTTGTTCTTTGTTTGGTAACTTGTTTCAGTTAGATCTGTAAAGTTGCTAAGTTCCCTTCCCACTCACTGCACTGTAATGTGCAGCTGCTGACAACTTTCCACATTTTTTTTTCTTTTTAAAGCTGGCTTTCTCAGGGTCACCCCTGTGTCTGCATAGCTTATGGGTCAACCAATGACTGAACAGAGGTTGTATTCAAATATCTCAGCCCTTCAAGCTTCTGTTCTCTGCCAATGCATAGGAGAATACACTCAAAGTTTAGGCCACAAAACCACATCTGCCCTGGATTTTACTTTCTGCTGGGCCCATTCCCTGTTCCTGTGCACATTTATGCAGCCTCAGGATCAGTCCTCATGGTTTACCCCACCCTGGCAAAACCTTTGCACCTGATCAAGCAGGAAGGGGAGATTGAAAGCAGCCCTGAGTCAAGAGTCCCCACTCTTCTTTCCCAGAGTTCAGCTGTTTTTTGTTTGTTTGTTTGTTTGAGACACAGCCACACTCTGTTGCCCAGGCTGGAGTGCAGTGGCACGATCTAGGCTCACTGCAACCTCTACCTCCCAGGTTCAAGCAATTCTCCTGTCTCAGCCTCCCGAGTACCTGGGACTACAGGCATCCACCACCACGCCCAGCTAATTTTTGTATTTTTAGTAGAGACAGGGTTTCACCGTATTAGCCTGGTCTCAAATTCCTGACCTCAGGTGATTCATCCACCTCAGCCTCCCAAAGTGCTGGGATCACAGGCGTGAGCCACCGTGCCCGGCCAGTTCAGCTATTTTTTAAGCATAAATACCTTTCAGATTGTTGTATCCTTTGATCCATTTCCAGAGCACTGAAATGATAGGTTTTTCACCAAATCTGTCTAACTTCATACTTTCTGGGGGAAAGAAACTCTGCCAACTAACTTATGAAGCCACAGCCACTCAAATTTAAGAATACTCCCAGTAAATATTTTTTTCCACAGAATGTAGTCAAGTGCAACTGAAATATTAAATTATTTATTTACAATATTTGTAGTCCAATATACAGGAAATTCCACTCTTGGACGTTAACCAAAACTTCCATTTCTTCTCTTTTTCATTATTTCTAATTTTTCTTTCATTCATGATTAATTCAATTATTTGCATGATAAGTATCAATTGTTTGCTATTATATGCCAGTCCACTACTTTTTTAGAATTTTGTTGACCTATGTCAATAGCAGTAGCCTCATTCTTCATTAGCAGCCCTATAATTCCAATATATGCTTCATCAAATTGCAAATTACTGTGTCATGAATGTTCCTCACTGTCCCATCAGTAATACTAACAAAGATATACACGACATTTACCACATGCCAGGTATTATTCTAAGTGGTTATGACAGGTTAACTCATTTAACTCACAACTCTATGAATAGCTACTATTATCTCCATTTTATAGATAAGAAAAGGGGAATTAAGTAACTTGTTTAAGATCAAACAGGTGGTAAGTGGCAAAGACAAGATTTGAATTCAAGCATTCTGATTCCAGAATCCATGCCTTAACAACATTACACTGCCTCATGAAAGTGAGATCTGCAAATGCTAAGAATCTATTACTTCACTTGGGTATAACTAAATCCATAAGGGGAATGAAGCATATACTTCAAAAGACTATACTAACAATCTTTTACTTGAAATTATGTCTAGCACTCAAACTGAACCATACTACACTGTTTATTAAACCTAATTGCTCAAATAATTTTTATATTAGTAGTTGCTACGATTTGTTAAGAGAAAAGCTACTGTTATAAAACAAACATCATAGGAATATCCTACGTGTATCAAATCCACTTTTACAATCAGACAATTTATGTCTACCGACTGAAATGTGGAAGGCATCAAACATTTTAATATAAATCTAACATTTCAAATATTTGTAAGAATTAACTACAATGACAGCATTATATTTAGTATTTCAGGAAACATATAAACATGTAAGTTCTTTCTTCTTCATTATAAACAACTGGTTTCTTTCTAAAATGTTACTTTAAATGTGAAATTCTAAAGGTTCATATTTTGACTTTTACTGAAGTCAATTTAATTGGTTCATGAACTCCTCTATACATTTGCAAGTATAAATCTATAGGCAAAAGTGTAATTGTTTTAACCATGACTATCTTGCTTATTCTGCTGTTTTAAAGGCTATAATACATCTCAAGAGAGGTCACAGAAAGATTCTACTGCTTAAGAAAATGTCAGCCAGTGGCACATTCAAGTTAATGAATCCAAGACAGCAGCTGCCAACCTCCTTTCTCCTGAAGAACAGGCAACAGAGCTGAGCAATGAGGGCACAAAACATTTGTTTTGGTCTTTTTCTCACACAATTTCTTAAAACTGACCAAGCAACTGCGTCATAATTAACTAATGTACATGCTAAAGCACAAACATACATGCTCTGAGGAATTTTTTTTAAGATTGCATTTAAAATGTAATTATGTTTACTTTGGCACCATTCGCTTGACTTGGACAGATAAATGAACCAGGGGTACGGGGATTATGAAATCTAACAAGAAAGCAAGGAGCTAAAAGACCAAAGAGGAGAAAATTTCCCCCAAGTAGAATTATTTCCATATAAATCATTTTGTGATTTTTTTTTAAAGTGACCTCTATGACCTGTGAGGTAGTGGAAAAGGAAAGTCAAAATGACAAATTGCTAATCATGCCAAGAGACCCCTTTTCCCTTTCCTGATGATGTTTCCTCAACATGAGTGGTAGTTTCCTTAGGCAGGCCAATGACATAATGCTGATTTACTATATAAGCTATACATATCTGAGTTTGGAGACTTACCATACCTTAAGCCTAGATTCCTTTACAACATAACTTCTAATAAAGACAAAAGCAGAACTTGATAACTTATTATGGGAAATTCTATTTTTAGTATTAGATAATAACGACTACTTCTTTAAGGAAGAGAAACAAAAAAATAGCAGTTGCTAGTCTTTCCTAAATTATTTACTAAAAAATACTTTGAATTTATCTCGTGCCACAACAAATAAGATGAAATCAAATGAATAGCTGCTCTTTTTTCCCATTAGAATGAAATGTTTTATGTATCTCTTCATTACCACTTAATCTAAAGTGCTCTAGGTATTCTCATCTCAGCATTTCCAACCTGATTGTTTCTTTATAGTTTACATACTCTGGGCAAATTAATCTTCCTGAAGTACAACTCTAAACCTTTTACTCTTCTCCACAAGCTCCAAGTCTCTTTTTTTTTTTTTTTTTTTTGAGACGGAGTCTCACTCTGTCACCCAGGCTGGAGTGCAGTGGCGCGATCTCGGCTCACTGCAAGCTCCGCCTCCCAGGTTCATGCCATTCTCCCGCCTCAGCCTCCTGAGTAGCTGGGACCACAGGCACCCACCACCACACCCGGCTAATTTTTTGTATTTTTAGTAGAGACGGGGTTTCACTGTGTTAGCCAGGATGGTCTCGATCTCCTGACCTCGTGATCCACCCGCCTCGGCCTCCCAAAGTGCTGGGATTACAGGCATGAGTCACTGTGCCCAGTCAAATCTCAAATTTTAATGAATTAAATATTATCACTCTATTCTTGTGTTTGTGATGATAGAACCCCATAAGAGAACTCCAACTTATTTTTTTATGCTCACCTACTACCCATATCTTTACTTATCTCTCTAGTCTAGATAAATCAAACTTTTGTTTCCTAAACTTGGGTCTTTCAGACTCCTTCCTTGCCTTTGCTCAAACCATTCATTCCACCAAGACTGTTCTCCCCACATCCTGCCTTGCCATGCTGAAATTCTAAGGCCCAGCAAAAGTAGCGTCCATTCCACAAAAACTTTCCCTAATACTACCATTCCACTGATTATATCTGCCTCCTTCTTTTGACTTGCCATAGTATTTTTTAAAACTCTTTGACAGCCTTTATCAATTTCCATGTGGTATGGTTATTTACGTGTCTTACCTTTGTAGCTTATAGCATTGTGCCTTGTATATAATATTTGTTGAATGAAAGCAAAATCACTCTTCAAGAGAATACTAGTTAATTATCTTCCTAATATATGCTCCCCTGCCCTCTTTTCTTTCAATTTTTGTTTTCCCTGATTTTTAAAAAAAATCCACGTTTCATTACATAATTTTAGTTCTTGATCTTTTTCAAATAACTTTTTCCATTATATTTTTCATCAAAGTATAAGGATCCCAGGCCTGCTTGTTCCAGCTGATAGCCCAGCAATGGGCCTGTCACACCAGAGTACTAACAACCCTCAATATACTCAGCAAAATTCACTACACAAAACTAGAGGAGTAATTTAAGTATGGGGAATCAATCTAAGCAGCACTGGAGTTCCAAGCCTATCTCTGGGATACTGAACTTTAATTATCAATGGTCTCTTTCTTCAAAGCCACCAGAAATGTAATCATTGACACCAATGCCCAAGTTCCACCAATGATGAAGTATCTAACTTGACAAGATTTTCTAATATGCCCCTCCTAAGCTACCTGAGTAGCTTTATAAATAACCTGAGTAAATTTATAAATAAGAATTAAAAACTGAAAACAGCCATTCATAGGTGGTTACAAAATGCAACTGCAAAATTAGAGCAGCCCCAGACAAGCTAAAAGCAATACTCAAATCACAGAGTTATACAAATATACAGAATTGACTAAACGTGAGTCCTGAATTTTGGGAAAAAAAATTAATACCAAGAAGTTTTAACTATACTCTCTGACCCAATCAATACTTTGATGATAGCAAAAGCCTGAAAATATACAGTATTAATTCTGAATGCATGTTTGTTTTAGGTTAAATGGGTTTTTCTTACTCCAAACTAATCTCTTTTTAAGGTTTTGGAGGTGTGGGCTCTGCTAATCTGCATGGTTGATAAACCTGGCCAATAGGTCAATTAAATTACCTGTTGAATGAGTGAGCGAGCCTCTTCAGAGACACATTCTGGCATGTTCAAAGTAGTGTGAGTATTTATTCCTGCTGGATGGCATTCAACCAGAGTCTGAAACAATCAATCAGGCACACTTCTTATCCCAAATAACATCATATTTTGTTATATCATAGGATTTATGGACAGCAAGTACAGAGAGTTCAACAACCATTTTAACTGGAGGTGTAGTAATCAACGCAGTGCCGCCTAAGCTGTTTAGGATGAGGGCTATGAGCCTATAGAACTTTTAACTGAAATGAAGACAATCACCATGATCATATCATAAGCTTATGCTACTGTCCCATCGTCCTTGGTTATAAAATTAATGGCTCAGAATATTACAGAAATGCTTAAATTATATACAAAACTAAAAAGGGATTTGATCCCTTTAAAATGTTTTAATGTTTTAAAAACTCTTCAAAGTTTAGAATTTGTTAGTCATAATACTTTACATACATATATAGCGCTTTACAGTGTAAATGTATGTAAAGGTGATTTGTAAACTCTCCAACAATCTTAGGTCAGTATTATCTACACACGTAGGTAGATGACTATTTACAAAAGCGTAACTGTTCATTTCCTCTCTTTTCTTCCCAGGAAGCAATCTGCACAATACTTTATTAAAGTCTACTAACTCAAACATCATACTCAAAAGTCATTCATCTGAGAATATAATTTCTGTCCTTAAGTAGAACAGATAAGAAAAATTTATGGTACTGAGAAAAAGATAATGCTAACTTTAATATCTACATTAATTTTCGTAAATAAGAATTCCCTCCTGGTTTCAGACAAGATGTTTAAAACATCCAGAGAATTTTAATACATCCTTACATAAACCTTACAGATTTGACCCTGTTAAAGCTGAATAATGGAAAATTAAAAGAAAAAGGTTTAGTCATATTTCACTATGAAATATTGTGACATAAAATAATTTTACCATCAATTTATTCAATGTAATGCAATCCAACTTTAAAAAAAAATCTGGAATCTTGATAAACTTGCATTTCTCTACCTGCTTTCGGTATCAAAGTTTTTCTTGCTTAGTCCCTGATTTAAAAACTAAGGGTGAAGGCTAATGTTCTCAATTTGAAATCAAGGTAGCATCTGAGTAAATTTATTAAACGTCCAGGTCCCTGCTTACCTTGCCAGTGAGAAGTTCAAAGAGGACAGCACCCAAACTCCACCAATCACAGGCTTCAGTTTCTTCAGTGATTGCTCCAACCTCTAAACACACCAAAAAAGGTTGATATTAAAATTCCAAAGGGCAATTAAACTTTCAAAATTAACATGTATTAGCAAGGTGACCTTTTTAATGCTGAGAGGGCATATACTAAATACTACTGGGCTTTCAAAATTCCTGAAAGTTACTTATCCTTTTGGTCACCTACTGTGGTTGCATTTTTTTTTTTTTTTGATGCAGTCATATATTAAACTCAGACATTTGTTCTTCAGTTGATAGAGGGACACCTTCAAGATGCTTTACTTAAAAGTTATGTGAACCTACTAGATCAGCATTTTGCTTAATTTCTTACATTTGAGAAAGTATAGCCAATTCTACCTCATGGGTGACATTTTTGTTTTAGAAATAAAGATTCTTCAGGTTCTAAAGAAACTTTAAAAATTATCTAAACCAATATTAATCATCCTTTTACTTGCAGGTTAGAAAGCAGAGAGATGAAATGCCCTGTCCAATGTCATATTATAGCAGAATGAAGACCTAGTTTAGAGTATCATCTTCCCTTTCCTATGTAATCAGTTGTTTTCAACCAAAGGAGGAACATGTGAAATGCAAATCTACCCATTTTGCTAAAGTACAGATAGATATATTATTTTAAGCCATGGCTGAAACTATTGGCCAAGATAAAGGATTTTAGAGTATCTACAAATTACACTTTTATCTGTGTTATCCCTATCTCTCGCCAGCACAAGTTCCTGAAATGTAATTTGAGTTTTCAGGTGTCATCTTTCAGGTTCCTGCACCAATCAGCAACAACTCTTCATTTCACCATTTTTTTTTTTTTTTTGAGGCTTTTAGCCCTTAAGTTATCTTGTGCTTTCCTAATGGCATTAAATTAGTCCCTAAGCCTTGCCAATACCTGCCCTTTCATTTCCAACTGACTAAAAAAAAAAAAAAACAAACAAAAAAAACCTACTATTTGACTATAGGTAACCCACAATTTGTAACTATTTTCGAGTTTATAAGTAGTTAGGTTGGAACTTGGAAAGTAAAACATGTAAGTGGTACTCAGATGCCTAGCCTTTTAACTAGTGCTTAGTCAATCTATTTGTGTGGGAGAACCCCAAACTTACAAAATAGCTTGAGCAATAATCTTAAAGCAAAAGTCACATGGACCAAAAAAAGAGTCATTCCTATGCAAAACACTGAAATTACTCCATTCAGCAACCTTTTTCTACATCCCTTTTTCTGAGGTTCAAACAGCCTATATGGAACTCTACCCCTTCACAGCCCTTTCTGAGCCCACCCTCTTCCTAAAGTGCTTCATGCCAAATCAGTTTCCGTTCTCCAACTAGCCGCTCTCAACTAGGTAGTAAAAAGAAAGCAGATTATTAACTAATTCAAACTAGTAAGTGAATGACTCGAAGTCTCCTAATGTTCTTAGAACTCTTTGCATTTATAAAACAGTTGCTTGTTTGAAAAATTGAGAACTACCTAACAATAGAGATTTAATCATATATGTTGTGGCACATCTGTATGATGGATAACTACTACATAACCATTTTAAGTAGGGCTGGGCGCGGTGGCTCACGCCTGTAATCCCAGCACTTTGGGAGGCTGAAGCGGGTGGATCACCTGAGGTCAGGAGTTCAAGACCAGCCTGGCCAACATGGCAAAACCCCATCTCTACTAAAAACATAAAAATTAGCCGTGTGTGGTGACGAGTGCCTGTAATCCCAGCTACCCAGGAGGCTGAGGCAGGAGAATCACTTGAACCCGGGAGGCGGAAGTTGCAGTGAGCTGAGATCGTGCCATTGCACTCCAGCCTGGGCAACAAGAGCGAAACTCCATCTCAAATAAATAAATAAATAAATAAAAATTAAAAAACAAAAAATAAAATAAAAAAACACCTAAATATACTTAAGTGAATGTTTGTATATAAAAACATATAAAAAACTATAAAACAATAGCTTTTTAAAAAGCTGTAAAACAATACAATTCTAATTTTTAAAGTATACATTTAGAAAAAAGACTGGTAAGAAAATATGACAAGATGTTTTACTGATTTGCCTCTGCGGTGGTGAGATTTTTTTTTTTTTTTTTTTGAGAAGGAGTCTCACTCTGTAGCCCAAGCTGGAGTGCAGCAGCGCAATCTTGGCTCACTGCACCTTTCACCTCTGAGGCTGAAGCGATTCTCCTGCCTCAGCCTCCCAAGTAGCTGGGACTACAGTTGCACGCCACCACACCCGGTTAATTATTTTGTATTTTTAGTAGGCACGGGGTTTTACCATGTGCCCTGTGTAGTCTCGAACTCCTGAGCTAAGGCGATCTACCCGCCTTGGCCTACCAAAGTGCTGGGATTACAGGCATGAGCCACTGCACCCGGCCAGTGAGATTTTTTTATTACCTACATGAATATGTAATTGACACAAATCTTTAAATTTTTAAAGTACAGCAAGATGATATGAAAACATTGAGGCTCGCTGGAAAAGTTACTCTGGAGCAGGGAAGACAAAACTACGTAAACCAATCTTCCCTTCTGTTCACCTGCATGGTTTTTTCCACAACTTTAATGCATGAAAAAGAACAATGAACTAGAAATCAGGAGTCCTGGGTTGAGTCAAGAAATTCACTTGATCTCATCTATAACATGAGGGTTAGAGCTGAGGGGCTCTAGGAGTTCTATGATTTGATACTCAAGGATTCTCTACAATAATGATACTCATGAAGGACATATCCCTGGATGCTCTCTTTCAAAGTACATATGCTACCCCTCCCAGATGCAAACACATTGCCCTCACCCCCATTCCCATTTCACAGGGAGCCACTATCACCTTTGCAAGTGTCCTCTTAGACTTTATAAAGGGTGTGTGTTCTTAGAAATGTTAGCAAAGTAAAAGGGAAATTTATCATAGTTCTATCATAAAATATAACCTTTTGTACATTTCCTTCCAGTCTAAAACAAGCAATGAATGACATCATTTCCCTACTCAAAATTCTCACTGACCATTAGATAACATTCAAATTTCTTGCTTAATCAGGTATATATATACAATTCGGCTTCCATAATAAGGTATCAACCCATCAAATTCATTCAACCAACACACATGAAGCAGCATAAACTAAGCACTCTACTAGGCACTATTCCTCTACAAAATTCTATGCCTTGGCCACATCGTTAAATAATGTGAAGCTATAATCAGTTTTCCTCCTAGTTAGTGGTTTTATTTCTTAAGTATCATTTTGTTCAAGAATTTCATTTACTCCATTTTCTTTAATCATATCACAAGCAGTGTATACTTCTTAGTATTACAAGGATCACCTGAAGTCAGGAGTTTGAGACCAGCCTGGCCAACATGGCGAAACCCCATCTCTACTAAAATACAAAAATAGGCTGGGTGTGGTGGCTCATGCCTGTAATCCCAGCACTTGGGAGGCCGGATCATGAGGTCAGGAGATCGAGACCACCCTGGCTAACATGGTGAAACCCTGTCTTCACCAAAAATACAAAAAATTAGTAAGGCACAGTGGTGGGCGCCTGTAGTCCCAGCTACTCGGGAGGCCAAGGCAGGAGAATTGCTTGAACCCAGGAGGCAAAGGTTGCAGTGAGCCGAGATCACGCCACTGCATTCCAGCCTGGGCAACAGAGCATGACTCCATCTCAAAAAATAAATAAAAAATAAAAATACAAAAATTAGCCAGGTGTGGTGGTGCGCACCTGTAGTCCTATCTACTTAGGAGGCTGAGACAGGAGAATCACTTGAACTCAGGAAGCAAGGGCTGCAGTGAGCCAAGATCACGCCACTGGACTCCAGCCTGGGCGACAGAGTAAGACTCCATATCAAAAAAAAAAAAAAAGTTTTACCTGTTTACATCAAGATCCAAAGTTATCTGTCAGCCATCAGTTTTAAAAACTTTCCATTTATAATGCTGCTTTCTTCACAGTAGGTACACATTGTATAATGATAGCAGCAATAATAATATAGCAGCTACTGTTTCCTGGCTGTTCACTACATGTAAGAAACCGTATTGAACACTTTACAGGAATTATTTACAATCTCTAAGCAACCTTATGGAAGAACTTATTTGGGTATGGTGACTTTGGGAGAGAATATTGTATTTATGTGTCCAGGAAGAAGCGGGACAGTTGATCCAGTTAGGTTCAAGAAATGTAAAAATTAATGAGATGGTTTATAGGGTCTAGTAACACGTGCTAAGGAGCTCTAGACTGAAGCCACATTCTTAAGTCTCTGCTCATGAGGTTCCCCATTAAAACTGAGCAGAGGATTGCCCAGATGGGTCTGTCTAATCAATCAATGGCTAACATATTTATAAAGGTACCCTTTAAATTCAGCAAAAGGTCCAAAGTGCCATCAACAATGTAGCCTAGATCCTCAAAAGCTACATGTTTGTTTGTTTTCCACACCACTGCAGGGAACATGCACCCCAGACGAAATGTGTTAGTGGGGAGGCATAGGGGGAGTGTGTTCTTGAAGCCACAAGGTAAGCACATTGCATATTCCTGAGTCTCAAAGACTTGTATGTGGGGAGGGGATGCAGTATTGTTTTACAATTACTATTTTTTAAAATAAATAAGACCTATTATGGAACACAATGTAAAATTTGCATGGATGTGCAAGATAAAAAGACTTCAAAGAAACCTCAGAATCTTATTTCACTGGTCCCCTGAGATACTCATTTCATATCACCTCTACAGTCAAGTACATAAGTAGAAAAATTTGAGAGGCACTTCCTGAGACAGACAAGGTGGATTCCTGTATTGGTTTCTGTGAACTTGCTCAACTGCGAAGTCTAAGAACTAGGCTTTATGCTGCTTTGAAATCCCTAAGTAATCTTCTGCCAGGGTCCTTAACAGGTAAATAACGACCAATGTACTGCTCCAAATGTGGATTGCCACAGTGTCTGATAAGCCCCAATTGAATGGGAGGCAACACAGACAGCAGGAAGAGACCTAAGAATCTCCTAGAGGAAGCCTGTGCGACCCACAGCCTGTGGGCTGAATGCAGCCCAATGCCAATTTGCAAAC